ATGTTGAGCACTTTTTCATGTGTCTGTTGGCCATTTGGATGTCTTCTTTGGAAAAATGTCTGTTCGTGTCTTCTGCGCATTTCTTGATTGGATCATTTGTTCTTTGAGTATTGAGTTTGATAAGTTCTTTATAGATTTTGGATACTAGCCCTTTATCTGATATGTCATTTGCAAATATCTTCTCCCATTTTGTTGGTTGTCTTTTGGTTGTGTTGACTGTTTCTTTTGCTGTGCAAAAGCTTTTTATCTTGATGAAGTCCCAATAGTTCATTTTTGCCCTTGCTTCCCTTGCCTTCTTCTAAGAAGAAGTTGCTGCGGCTGAGGTTGAAGAGGTTGCTGCCTGTGTTCTCCTTTAGGATTTTGATGGATTCCTGTCTCACATTTAGGTCTTTCAACCATTTTGAGTCTATTTTTGTGTGTGGTGTAAGGAAATGGAACAGTCTTTTATCAAATAATGGATCCTGACAATTAGTGCATTGGAAGAGCAATTTAGTGGGTTATAGCAAGCATTTAAAATATATGGGAAAGAATAGAAAACCTCATAGCATAAAGGCATATAGTAAAGTTATTAGTAAAGAAACTTGTGCATATGTGTGCACTTGTGCTGGGTTATAGTGTAATATTTCTTCCTCAGAGAGAGGGTTCAAAAGAGTTTGAATGTGACTGATTTGAAGTATACATGTTCTCTTTCAGTCAAGTGATCTATATATAGGCTAGGACTTTGATTACTGCTAATAACAGTTTTAAATTGTGGGCTTAGCATATCCTGTAAAATATGTTGAAAGTTTAGGGATGTTTTATTTATTTATTCATGCTTTCCTTTGTATTCTCTGCATTTTGTCTCTGTAAAGTGAGACTACTTCTGAGTTAGACAGCTGGGCTATTCAGTTCTGTGCTCCCTGAAGTATACAGCCTTTGGCTTTTATTGAAGGTCATTTTATCCAAAAATGGCTTTATATGATATTGTCCTTTAATTTACTCAGGGTCTTTTAATTAAATGTTTTTTCTATTATTAAATAGTTAGTAAAAAAAAATTCTATTTGTTTGTTAGGAAGCTCAGAGATAAACTTTGTCTTCCATTGCATGGCTTCCTCTTTCTTGGTTTTATCATATAATTATCTCTTTCTTTTTCTTTTTACCTTTTTACTCAGAATATATGTGTGTGTGTGTGTGTGTGTGTGTGTATATATATAGTTTAATAGAAATATTTAGGTTATAGATAATAGTTTAATAGAAATATTTAGTTTAATAGAAATATTTAGGATATAGATATATTTTAAATGTAATAAAAATATTTAGGATATAGATAAACTTTAAAAATCATGTTGCCTACTGGGTCTGAAGTTATGATTTAGTCATCCTTGATCATCATCTAGTAAAGAGGACAGCAGACCTGTTCTTTGAAGGGCCAGTTATTTAATATTTTAGGATTTGCAAGCCGTATATTTTCTGTTGCAGCTATTCCATTCTTCTGATTTCACATGAAATCAAACATAAATGATAAATTAATGTATTGGCCTGTGTTCCAATAAAAGTTTATTTATAAAAATTGATGCAAAGATCTCATTTTGCCAGCCCCTGATCTAAACAGTGTCTGGCTGATAATAGGCATTTATATGTTTACTACACTGCACAGAAACTGAACTGCACAAAACCACAGTGTTTTCTTCAATAATCAGAGTCCCTTTGTTGAAATGTGAAATAAGAAGCTAATGTCAAGATTTTCTGGTCTAGCAGTCTATCTTTTTTGGGACATGGACCCTTGAAAATCTGTTGAAAAAGTTGTAGACTCACATACGCACATTTGAAACTGCACATAACTTCAGGTATTCACATTCTTGCTGAAGTCCATCTCTAGGTTCCAGCTAAGCCTCTGATCTAGCCCACATTTTGTGGATAAGAAAATGGAAACTCAGATATCTTGATATACATGAGGAGAGATAGTACTAAGTAGTCATTCAGTCAAAATTTTTTCTGCAGAAAATATTGAATATGAAGTGGAAGATACAGTTTGTGGTGTGTGTGTATATTTGAATGTTTGCCATGTTAGGCTGTTAGGGCTTGGTATTCTGAAAAATCTCTTGAAAGGGAGTTTAATAATAATTGGAGAGTATATGAGATAATTTAGGAATATTTGTAATATATCATCCGTTCAAGAACCTAAGCCAAGAATGGCAATGTCTTGTTATAGAAGATAGCATAATCATTTCCTTTCTCTCTGCCTGTGGGGGACCACAAGATTTTAAAGCTATATAATCACTGTTCCTTTCTGGAACATCTAAGAGTAGAGAAGATCTATGGTAAATGAAAAAGAAATGCATTTCACATCTATTTTTTATGCTTTTATTGTTTTAATATCTTCCATTAACATTTTCAGGAAAAACTTTTTTTTTTCCTAATAACAGTGACACATTGTGTAAGTTGTGTTAATCCACTGGTTAAGTTCCCAGCAGTTAGCATTAACCTAACAGAAGTGTTGTTTTCTTTATGTACCAGTATAAAGACTGTATTCTACTAGAAGCCCAGGTTTCTTTTTTTTAAAGTAGGCTCTATGCTCAGCATGGAGCTCAACATGGGGCTCAGACTTATGACCCCGAGATCAAGACCTGAGCTGATATCAAGAGTCAGACACTTAACTGACTAAGCCACCCAGGTGCCCCTAGGCTTCTTTTGTTTGGAGGCTCTGCTGTGCCCTACGCCAGACTTAGAATTACTGCTTTCAGCCTTTCCAAGAGGACAGTCTGGAGAAGACCTTTCTACCTCTTAATCCTCCCATGCTCGAAGTGATACATAGTCTGCTCACATTTCACTGAGGAAAACTGTATGGACATTATATATGGCTTAGAAGTCCTTATCTCAGTAATAATTCTACAATCTGGATGGAAGGGGAAGCACAAGATACTCATGGATAGTCATTTCTGATATCCAGGTGTTCTTTAATATATTGATATATTGATTCTTTTAAAAGTGGGTTATGCTAAAAACTATTATGTCAATAACCTTCAGGATATCTAATGTTTATATTTTGTTTATTACAGAAAAGGTGAAAATTGGAGAGCTTTTAAAAAAAAATTTTTTTAACTTATATATAATGTATTATTTGTTTCAGGGGTACAGGTCTGTGATTCATCAGTTTTACACAATTCACAGCGCTTACCATAGCACATACAATCTTCTTAATGTTGTGTAGGTTGGGGGACATTGGAGAAGAGGCTGTAGGGGAGAAGACATTTATACTGGGACTGTAACAAGAAGGGAGAATGGACAAAGAGTACTCTAAACTGAAGGAAGAGTATGAGCAAAGTCCATGAAAGTTCATAGTGTTTTATCTGGCCCTGTGGGCATAGATGTATATATGTCTGGAGGAATGGGGTTTATGGGTGAGCGAGAGTTGGATAATGATAGGAATTTCTGGAAAGTTTGATTAGGAATTTCTGGAAAGCTTGATTAGTAACAGGCAGCTGTTTGAGAGCCATCCAGTATGACATCTTGTAGGTTCTTACCCCAGAGTGACCTTGCATTTTCAGATGCTTAGGGAATAGACCTGGATTACTGTTATGTCATCTGAACAGATAAACTCTCAGGGACTATCTAAATATTTAGTGATGAGAACTAGTAGATCTGCTGTTTGACACTCTCCTATAGCTTACTTAGAACTAAGTTATTATGGAGGATTGGGGAGACAGTGTATCATTTTTTCCATTGGTTAGTTTCTGTTACTTTGATATTGCATTTTTAATAAGGAAATGTAGTCTATGGGGGTAGTTCTTTTTAGATATTTTATTCTTTAATATTCTTTGGTGAATTGGCTTATTCATCTCAATTTGTATGCTACTTTTATAATGAGAAACTGAGGGAAAATACTAAAAAATAGATTAAAAAATCCATTAGCAGTGTTTTGTTGGTTAAAATACATTTACGGTATTATGTTTCTGTTATTTTGCACTAAATATTTTCTCCAGTTCTATCTTCGAGAGTTTATTTTTTTCTTTTGAAGGTAATAAAAAGTCATGAACTCTTAAGAGGTTTTTATGAATTCCTTATTGATGACATATTTTTCAGAAATAGGAAAACCAATATTAGTCATGCTTCTTGACTTCTTAGAAACAGGATGTTTATTTTTATTTTTATTTTTAACATCTGTGTTGAGTAGTAATAGCATGGGGGAATATACATTCCAAGATCGAAACTTTTGATTTTTAAAATTTCTTTTGGAAGCTTAATTTGTTAAGCATTTTAGTGTCTACTCTCATAAGAGTATTTATTACCGGGGCACCTGGGTGGCTCAGTCTGTTAAGTGTCTGCCTTCGGCTCAGGTCATGATCCCGGGGTCCTGGGATCGAGCCCCGCATCGGGCTCCCTGCTCCGCAGGAAGCCTGCTTCTCCCTCTCCCACTACCCCTGCTTATGTTCCCTCTCTTGCTGTATCTCTCTCTCTCTCTGTCAAATAAATAAATAAATAAAATCTTAAAGAGTATTTATTACCTTAAATTTATTGATATTTTGTATGTTAATTCTTTGAATATGATAATTGGCACTCTAAAAGCTGCTAATAGTTTCCACATAGGAAAAAATATTGAAATTAGTTGTTTTACATTTCTTTCCTATTTATATCCTTTGGGTATGAATGAGGGAGTTGGTTTTTGCAAAGGTGTTATGGTTGAATTGATTTAAATAGGCTTTCTCTCAGCAGGTTTTAGTGTAGGTGTTAACAGTGACAGTTGCTGACAGAAGTTGATTCTGTTTTGCCCAGTTAAGTTCTGAATATAAGTAGGATAGTTCATGAAATAGTTAACATTTTAATTAGTTTTTAAATAAGTTTTAGAGTCGGAAGTGCATTTGAATCAAGTGAAGTCTTTCATATGTTTCTCCTGTGTTTTCTTAAAATGCTGTTTGTTTTTTATTTATAATTTCAATTAAATTCCTTACTAATGTATCTGTATACACATTTATTGTGTGAGAAGCTTCTGAGAATGTGGAGTGGAGTATCCCATAGTAGCATAAAATTAAAAGAAAATTTTGGAGATTTTAGGCAAGCTAGGGCAAAAAGGAATGTTCACTAGTTCTGTTTTTTTTTTTTTTTTTTAAACTGCTATTTGTTTATTGTTCTTATTTCCCTGTGTTCGCATTATGCTTTTTCTCCGTTCTTCCATACTTCTCTTTTTTCTTTCTTTTCATTGTGTTCTTTGTCTCTGTCTCTAAATTGTGTCTACATTTTCTTCCTCATTCTTATTCTCTCCTCTACCCTCCTTCAATATTACTTATTAGTAAGTGGAAATACTTGAATCCATTATGATGGTCATGTTTCTCCTACCTTTCTTCCTCCCAGCCTAACTTTTGAATACTTCTATGGCTATTTAAAGTAGGAAGAGAAGATGGCTCAAAAAGAAACTCTTAAAGAAGCAACTCTTCTAATATGTTGTATAATCAGTGTTTAGTAACATTGTTTCATTTGGGAAAATGTTTCTAAAATAGGCAGAAACCAGACAAAGTACTGAATATAGGATTATCACTGACTGGGATCTAGTATTATGTTAGTCTCTGATTTCTCTTAGTACATGAACACTTCCTTATATAGAACTTCTTGGTAATGGTTTTTGGGGGTGGATGTGCTACTTATTAGCTGTGTCAGTATTGCAAGCCTGTCCACCTGACTGTTTCTTCTTTGCAAAATATGCTAAATGATACCCACCTATCATATACATTAAGTTCAATAACATTTTAAGAATAATTGTTTATTGACAGACTTATGGCTAATTGAATCCTTTTTTTTCTCTTTTATAGGTTATGTGCAGAGTCTGATCAGACGAGTAGTAAATAATGTAAATATTGTTATAAATAATCTCATACTAAAATATGTTGAAGATGATATTGTTCTTTCAGTCAATATCACTTCTGCAGAGTGCTATACAGTAGGTGAATTATGGGATCGTGCATTCATGGATATTTCTGGTGAGTAAATATTAAGAAAAGTATAGATTTTTCCATTATTGAAATAGTTGTCTTGGTTTCTAAACCTTTTTTGGGCCAACTGGCTCTTCGATAAATTTGATGAGAACTTTATGCTTCAGCCTAGAAAAATGAACATATATAAAATTTAGCATACAGGGGCGCCTGGGTGGCTTAGTTGGTTAAGTGTCTGCCTTTGGCTCAAGTCATGATCTTGGAGTCCCGGGATTGAGTCCCGCATTGGGCTCCCTGCTCAGTGAGGAGTCTCCTTCTCCCTCTGACCCTCACTCTGCTCTTGTGCTCTCTCTCTCTCAAATAAATAAATAAAATCTTAAAAAAATTAAGCATACAACTAACTGTAGGTTTAATAGACCCTCAAATGAAGAAATCCCAGACTCCATTTTTAATATGCTTAATTTTTATTCTTTCTTACCTGCCACATGTTTCAAATGTATTATATAACATTTTACAGTGCAATGGGTTTGTAGTAATAAAAATAGTTAAAATTTTTGACATATTTGAAGGAGGAAATGGAACATGTTGCTTTTGTATTGCTTGGTAATGGCAAAACAATGTATTTGACTGATTTATGTTTTTGGTTTGTATATTCCAGAGTGTATTTGGGACTTCTGGATAATCCTAAAGCCTCTTTTGACTGTTACATGCTGTAATCTTCTTCTGCTTACATTAAAAGAACTATTAAGTAATATAATTTTAGTAACTACCATTTATTTATTTTATTATGTTTTACCTGGTAGGCACTGTGCTAAGCATTGAAAATACAGCTGTGAAAGAGACACTGCTTCTTTTGTCAGAAGAGATATTAATAAATCATAATATTTGATAAATATTCTGATAGGGTAAGGAGTGGACATTTTTTGAAAATATAGTGAGGAGGGGCACCTGGGTGGCTCAGTCGGTTAAGCGTCTGCCTTTGGCTCAGGTCATGATCCCAGGATGCTTAGATCGAGCCCCCGCATCGGGCTCACTGCTCAGCAGGGTTTCTGCTTCTCCCTCTCCTGCTCCCCCGCTTGTGCTCTCTGTCAAATAAATAAATAAAATCTTAAAAAAAAAAAAAAAAAGAAAATATAGTGAGGAGACTATTGTGAGCACCTTTTATCTGTGACTTGCCAGGGTATGTATTTGTTAACAGTGTTGGCACTAAGACAACCTGAGTTTGGATCCTGGCTGTCTCACTTAGTAGAGCTATATGACCTTAGGTGACTTACTTGACCAGTTCTTAGTTTCTGCATTTGTAAAATGGGGGTAAAATAGGAGCTTCCTTATAGAGTTATTTTATTAAATACATTAATGCACTGAAAGCACTTATAAAAGTGTCTTGTACATAGTGCTCAGAAAATGAGCTGTTAAAATTTTTTACATTTATTTTCTCAAATTCTCATAACTCCATAAAGTGATATTCTTTCTCATTCATTTACTTATATGTTCACTTACTCATCTTAAGTCCTACTTAAAAGGAAAGCAAAAGGAAATTTAGTCTCAAGGTTACTTAACTTGCCTAGTTTAGGCATACAACTAGGAACTAGCAGAATTTGATACAGTCTCATTTTTGTGTGTTCTCCAAGCTTCAGTCTTTACTTTTTGTTTTTTTTTAAAATAGGCTCCACACCCAACGTGGGGCTCGAACTCATGGCCCTGAGATTAAGAGTCAGTATCCTTTACTGACTGAGCCTGCCCTGGTGCCGCTTAGTCATTATATTTTAAAATGAAGAATAGTTTTGATCTCACAGTTTTGTTGTGAGGCATTAATCAGTGCATATGCAAAGTCCCAAGCATTGTTTCTGAGACATTGTTAATGCCTCCCTATCATCCTCTTTGGGAAAAATATTCCATACAAAGGCCACAAGGAAACATTAAGGACAATGGAAAACAAGCAGAACTGGACAATGCAGGATTGAATGTGTTGACATTTTATGGGAAGAAGTTTCATTTATAGTTTTAAAATACAAGGAATGTAAATATTACTTTGGGACATTATAGTGAATTAGAGTCTTGGGTTGGGAGTTAGGGCATCTTGGTTTCAGTCTTCCTTCCACCACTAACTTAGTATAACCTTGGGTGAGTCATTTGTAAAATGTGAATTATCATTACTACCAGTGTGCTAATGTATTTAAGAAAATCAAGTATCCCCATGAAAGTTCTTATGAGGGTGGTGATAAAAACAGCAAAAATGGTATCTTGCACTTGTTGAGTTCTTGTTAACTGCTGAGCCTGGTGCTGTGCTTTTTTTTACATTATCTGGTTTTAATCCTTTACCTTCTGAGATAGTTACTATTATTTTCCCTTTTATTTTTAATGCAACATTTGATACTTATAAAGATTTAGGTCACATATTTTGTTATAAAACAGTGTAAGGAGCACCTCTTCTCTAAGTATCTAGAACATACACAGTAGTTTACCCCCACGAGTGTGTTTTTCCCTATCTCATCCCCTTCCTCCTAGAGTTAACTGCTGTATTAAATTTTATCATTTAATTGCTTGAAAAGACTTGTGCTATAAAAAGGAATGAAGTACTGATATATGCTACAACATGGATGAACCTTGAAAACATTCTAAGTGAAAAAAGCCAGGCAGAGAAGTTGTATATTGTAGGATTCCACTTATATGAACTGCACAGAATAGCCAAATCTATATAGACAGAACGTAGATTAGGGACTGTCTCAGGATTGGGGAGTAGGGAGGGCAATGAGGGGATTGAGGGATGAGAGCTCAAGGGTACAGAGTTTCTTTTCTGATGTATTGAAAAAGTTTTGAAATTGATTGTGCTGATTGATGCATAATATTGTCAGTATACCAAATGCCACTCTGTTGTAGCCTTTAAATTGTTAATTTTTTAAAAAGATTTTATTAATTTGAGGGGGGGTGGAGAACGAGCAGGGGGAGGGGCAGAGGGAGAAGCAGACTCCCCACGGGGCAGGAACCTGGGATCACCATCTGAGACGAAGGCAGACGCTCAACCGACTGAGTTACCCAGGCGCCCCTAAGTTGCTAATTTTATGTTATGTGAATTTTATCTCAATCAAAAAGTATCAGATGTGATTATACATAAATAATATATTACATGTATTTTTGAGCTTTGTAAAGATAGTATGCTCTATGTTGGGAATTTGAGGCTTGAGTAAAACAGGTTCCTGTTTTCAATCAATGTCATGCTTTTAATATTTTTCCATATTGTTGCATGTAGTTATAGATCACTTATTTTTACTTGTGAATAATATTCTGCTGTTTAAGTATGCCAGAACTTAATTGTTCTGATGATGGGCATTTGGGATGTTTCCCGATTTTTGCTATTACAAACAGTGCTATTAGGAATCTTTGTACATACCTTTTGATGCATATGTGTAAGCATTTCTTAAGGACATACACTTAGTGGGTTTGTTAGATGGGAGGAGAGCAAATGTTCACGTTTTCAAAATAATGCCAGATCATTTTCCAGAGTGCTCCAGAGTTGGATAGACATAATTATTATCCCCATTTTACAGATTAAATTGCAATTTAATTTCACATTATCTAAAGTATGTACCAGAACTAGAATTCATTTTGTAAGTTTTTAAAAGGTAGTTGTTATATTTAGTGTTTAAGAAAAATATTTTCAAAGCTTTAATAATTTCCTTTGTCAGTGAATAATAGTTTTCTAGAATACCCTCAAAATATAGACCACTATTTTCTTACAGCATAATAGATAAAAACATGAATTCTCAAGTAAGGTTGCCAGAGTTTGAATGATCGGTCTGTCCTTTATAAACTAACATTAAACTATTTCCCCTTACTGTGTCTCAGTTTTCACATCTTTTAAACAGAGGGATGTAAATATTAAAAGATAGCAGAGGGAAAAGACTTAGTGTATTATCTGATAGCAAACATTCAGTAAATTATTATGAAAAAGAGAGTGAAGGAAGTATCTAGAGGGTTTCTTTCATTTCTAGTTCTGTTATTACATACATGTACACAAGGAAATATATCAGTAAATCATTTATTTATATACTATGTAAATTGTAGTAGATTTGGGCCTAATAGTTACCTAGGAATTGCTTATTGTTAGGAATAAAACTTCTCATTTGCTAAAGGTTTCATTTTCTAGTTTGATACTTTATCAGCAGTTGTTTCATGTTTATTCCCTTGAAAACAAACTGTTTACTCTTACTGGTAACGTGGTAGTTTCTTCATCAATTGCTTAGAGCAGTGATGTCCACTAGAATTTTCTGTGATGATGAAAATATTTTATATTTTTACAGTCTAGTACTGTAGCTACTAGCCACATGTGCTATTGAGGACTTGAAATGTTGCTAATGTAACCAAGGAACTGAAATTTAATTTTTATATAATTTTAACTTATATATAAATTTAAATAGTCACATATCGCTGGTGGCTACCATACTGGAGAGTACAAGTTTAGAGAAGCTGTGAGTTTTTTTGTATAAGATATTAAATGAATGACTACTGCTCAGAATGTTATTTTTAATGTGGTTTCTCAAGAATTATATTTAAGTTATTTGGTATCTCATTGCAGATAGCAAAATGTAGCAAAATTTTTCATAAATTTTGTCTTAAATTTGTAGTTAGATACCAAGCAAATTAGGGACAAGCTATTTCATTTCTTTGTCCTTTATTTGATTCTTCATACTTGCAGTGGGATTTTTGTGCCTATTTCATAAGGTTGTTGGAGGATTTAAATAATAAATGAGAAATTCTTTGCATGGATTCTGGCATCATGTATTAAATGCTCTATTAATCTTACTATTTGTACTAATAAAAAATGGTTGCTTTTTTCTCTAACTTTCCTTTTTACTTAAAATGGTTTTTCTTTTTTTTTTTTTTTAGCAACTGATCTGGTGCTGAGAAAGGTTATCAATTTTTCTGACTGTACAGTTTGTCTTGATAAACGAAATGCTAGTGGTAAAATAGAATTTTACCAGGATCCTTTATTGTATAAATGTTCCTTCAGAACTCGTCTGCATTTCACATATGATAACCTAAATTCCAAGATGCCATCTGTTATTAAAGTAGGTGTTTCTTTTTCTAGTAGTTGAGTTGCATGTCTCCATTTTGTTTATTGGTTCTTGCAGGTGCTACTAAAGAAGAAATTAACCTCATAAAAATATATACCATTAGCTTTTGTAAGAGTTTTATTTCTATTTATAATTTTAGGTTTTATTGTTTATTATATTTTAAATCTTTCTGCATTGTGTGTTGTAGTAGAGAGATTTTGGGGACTTTTTTTTCTCCCTGTGACTGTAGTTTCCTTTATAGTTTGTCCAGCTGTTTCTTCATGTTTTTTTCTTTTAAATGGATAGAGGAAATCCTATAAGAAGTGTAATTATACCCATAGTGGACTGAATATCAATGTATATTTCAATCCTTATAATTTATTTAACATGATCTGATAACTGTAGTTATTGTCCCTCTTTCTTAGATAACCTCATAAGGCTTAATATGCTGACCTAATATCTTTGTTTATTGGTTCAGGAAATTTTAGCTTTTGATCTATGGATTCAGAATGTAATTAAAATCTTAGCATGTAGGAATTTTTTAGGTAATGTGAAAGCTTTTACTCCCAAGATAGTGGAACATATTTTCAACGTGTATAGTTAGTCTCTTAATGTAAATCTTGTGTTCTTTCCTTGTATAACAGTTTTCTAAACCTCTATCCATATATTAGTTTTTGAAAAAGAATTCACACAGTAGCTTGTGATCTTGTTAATAACTAAGTTTTAATGTGGAATGAATATTTATTGTTGAGTATCATGCCTTTGAATACTAAAGTGCTATAATGGAAAAGCTGCCCCTGAGTCTGAACACGGGTATTGACTACTGTGCCTAGTTGTACATGGATATATAACTTATTTTTTAATACTGTCTTTTTAAAAAGCATGTAACACTTTCTCTTTTATGTAGCTTTACTGTATATTTATTCATGAAATCCACCTGTTTTTCTTTGGTAGTACTTCAGTCATCAGGGTTCTAGTTTTCTTCCCATTGTATACAGTGCACATCAATTTATTGAAATTCTGTTACTCTTTCCTTCTATTTTTGAATTAGCTTCTTTGCCAAAGATAAGCATAGAAAAATATTAATTCAATGGTATTGATGGCTCTGTCTCAGGATAATGGGCTTACTTTCCTTCTTTCACCTTGAACCTGCTAGAAACATTGGGGAACGTTAAGGATAAATTCAAGATACATTTTGACAGCAAGTAATGGATGCGTGTATGCCTTACAGTATAAAATAAACTTATTGATCATTAGTACAAATGTAATTATACATTCTAGAATGTGGCTAAATTAGAGGAAAGTAAAAGTAAATGAATTTGAGGGAAACTTAGTGTTAGCATTTAAGTTTGTATTCTCAAAATTGATTAGCCATGATATATCATCCTAAAAAGCATCTTAATATTAAGTAAGTTTGTTGACATGGGGTTTTTGACCCTGGTAATCACCAAATATGAGGTACCATTATGTTCAACTGAAATAAAATTGAATTTTTTATTAATACCATTGTGGTGTAAGATTTGCTATTTTGAGTTAGACCTATCATTCTTCTGACTCCTAGTCCTAGGAAGTATATATTAAAAGCACATGGTTAACCTCATTGATCACCTCAAAGAGAGGGGATTTCCCAGAATATTCCAGATGCTGTAATTATTCATTTAAGTCTCTCCCATATATTTAAGTGGTTTTTGAATTTATCTGTATTTTGGGTTGGCTTTTTATAATTTTCTATCTGTTGGAACGAATATGTCCTAGGGTTTGTGTCATCTGAGATATAGACTATATGGGTACATAAGTAACATGTCCCCTATTTTTGAAAATTTACTTTTTAAAAAAGTTTTTTAGAGATATGAAAGTCTGACCTAAATCTTTGACCACTTTCTGATGAATTCCTTTGGAAAGATTTTGGTAATTGCAAATATCTTAATAATGGGCTTAAATTTTTTTAAGGCCTGTGTTCTTTATTGCAAAAGTGTTTCCAGAAAAATTTAACCAATGTATATGTTCATGAGCATCAAAGAGGGTTCCTATCCTTAAATATGATCATGTTAAAAAAATTGACAACTTGTTAAAATATATTTTAATTAACATTTGTTAGTGAAGTTAGATTTTTTAAAATATGTTCACTGGCCATTTGTTCTTTGAAAAATCCATTGAGGTTCTTTGTCCATTTTTCTATTAGGGATTAATCTTACTGATTTTAGAGATACTTTAATCTATCTACCATATATAAAATATATAAAATATCTTATGTATTTTAAATGTATATGTTTGTGTATATTAGATGTACATATAATATATGTATATAAAAGGTTTATTCTTTGTCTGTTACTGGTTCAGCTAAGATGGCCTTTTGCTGGTGCTATTGGTGCCATACAATATTTTAAAAGGACGTGGTAGAGAAAAACCAAATCAAGAAGAGTTCGGCAGGCCTGCACTGCACACTCTCCACTCCTCCCACCAACCTTTTTCTTACCCTTTCTTGGTCTGTTCAGTGTATGATTTTTAAGTCAGTTTTAAGAAACCTGTATTCATAATTAAATATAGCCTTTTGCAGTTTTCTTCCCCTTCAAATACAAATTTTTGTGCCTCTAACACTGAAAATACGATGACTACTATTACTTTTTCATGTTTCATAAACCCTCAAATACCTTCCAAGAGACTTGGAAGTCAAAATAAACCTTCCAAGAGACTTGACTTTATGGCTTTATTGGTTTTATTCCATGTTTATATAACAGCAGGGAACATTACACTGAGACTATGTTTATATTCCATTCATGTCTTTCTATAAGGATAACTTTGATTGACTGCTGTATATCCTATTTGTTAGTAATTAATCTTGTTTCTTTCTTATACCTGATTCATTTTACAAATTTTATGTCCTATTTAAATCTCTTAAAACTTGTTTGGAAAACTTTTCTGAACATGTATGTCACTTGGTTTTCCATATTTGACAAAGTTTTATTATGTTCATACTTCCGTAGTTGTAATGTTACTAATTTTCTCACTTAGGCTTTTAGAATGTGTATGTATTCTTTTTGGTTAATAAAGCTGGAAAGGGTGATTGAGGTTTTACTAAAATGACATTATGAAACTTTTATTCTTGGTGTGACAGAAATCTCTGATTGTGGGGGGAGTGCTATCAAATTCTTCATATGAACAATGGAGTTGATATTTTGGATCCATAACTTTATTTCTGGAAAAGTCTAGTGTGACTGTATCTTCTCATCATCATTTCTATTTATACTTATATAATTTGGCTTAGTACAGTTTCTATCTAAAGTTGATTGGTCATTATAGCAAATTTAATTCCTAAGATACTAGAGTAAATTATTTTGGCTTACATATTGGAAATGTTTGGGACATTACTTTTCTCTTATGGTATTCTCTATTTTAGGACTTTTAACATTTATCTATTTATGTTAAAAGGTACTTCCTTTGAACATGCTTTTGTTGATGTGTTTATTTTTTCAAATACAGATTCATACTTTAGTAGAGAGTTTGAAACTTTCTATCACAGATCAACAACTGCCTATGTTTATCCGTATAATGCAACTTGGGATTGCTCTTTACTATGGGGAAATAGGCAATTTTAAAGATGGAGAAATGGAAGATCCTACCTGTCACAATAAAGATATGTTAGGAAACATTACAGGTAAATATAATAAAAACTTTATTTTTGAGCTATTGTTTGTATAGTGTTTTCACCATTGTGAAACTTTAAAAAATAAAACATTAGATTGAATTTTGCAGTGTTCTGACATGATGGGATGATTTTATTTTGGTGGTTTGACACTACTTGATTTTTTTTTTTCTTTACATGCTGGATATTACTGTGATTTTTCTTTTTACATTCTAAAAATAACTTTAATATTTTTAATAGATATAAATGTTGGGAATGTACGTTATATAAAAGTTAAGGTAATGCACCATCAATATTTCTTAATAAATTGTGGTATTGGTAATTTTTTACAAAGGCTTACCAAGAGTTACAGCGGAGTTAGATATACTTAATTATTATATGTAATTATGTGTAACAACTATAGTTACACTTAATTAACTGTGTGCTTCATTGGAGGATACCTAGTTAATTAATTAGAGCATTATTAATGGGCTACATATTTCACTGAAGGATGCTAGTGGGTTAACCTCAGTTATTCAGTTCATTATACTTTTACTAAAGTCTACTGAATGTACTGAACATTGGTAATGTAGGAAAACACAGAGATAAAAAGGTGTGTTCTCTTCCCTTAAAACCACAGTGAGCCATCACTTCAAGGCCACTGGCATGACTATAATCAAAAGACACATAATGACAAGTGTTGGCAAGATTGTAGAGAATTGTAACCTTTATGTTGATTGTGGGAATGTAAAATGGTATGGCTGTTTTGTGAAACAATCTAGTTCCTTAAAAAATTGAACATGGAATTACCATATGACCCAGCAATTCCACTCCTAGGTATATATGCAAAATAATTGATAACATATGTCCATAAAAACTCACATGTGAATATTAAATGGCAGCATTGTTCATTATAACCAAAAAGTGAAACAACCCAAATGTTAATCACCTGATGAATGGATAAAGGATTGTGATATATCCATACTCTAGTATTATTCAGTCATACAAAAGAATGAAAAACTGATACATGCTACAACATGATGAACTTTGAAAATATCTTAAGTGAAAGCAGCCAGTCAGAAAGGAACACCTAGTATGATTCCGTTTATATGACACGTCCCTAATAGCCAATTCAATAGAAGTAGAAAGTAGATTAGCAGCAAGGGCCTTGGGGGGAGAAGGAAATGGGGATTGACTGCTAATGGGTAGAGGTGTTCTTTTTAGAGTGATGAAAATGTTCCAAAATTGGATAGTGATGATGGTTGCACAACTTTGTGATTATACTAAAAACACTGAATTGTACACTTCTAAAGGTGAGATTTTGTATTTATAGCTTATGAAAAACTGTTATCACCTTAAAAGCTTAGAGAGTAACATTAATAAGTATATGTACATATAAAATATACCTTTATTTCACACTGGACAGTGAATTCCTGTTAGACAATGAAGTCCTGAAACAGGAATACTATCTAACATCTAGAACAAAACCTAGCACCAGAAGGTGCTCACTTTTTTCCCAACATGCTATTCTGACAAATTTCAAATATATAGAAAAGTAGAAAGCGTAGATTGTATAATGTTTTGTTAAATTTGTTTTATCATATAGCTGTTCATCTGACTTCTCTCTTCATCAGTTCAACCAGTGCTTCTGATGGCTTTCAGAGAGGGTTAGACATCCATACATTTCACCCCTAGACTTCAGCAGCATATTGTTACTAGAGTTTATATTTGGTAATGGTTCCTTTTATTTTTTTGAGGGTGTAATTTACAAAGTGAAATGCATAAATCTTAAGTGTACTATTCAAGTTTTGAGAAATGCGTATACCTGTGTGATGTACAGCACCCATCAAGATACAGATTTATCAGTATCTCCAAAAACTTCTCTTTTGCCCCTTTCTAATCATTCCCACATCCCCCACTTCCACTCAGGAAAACACTGTTCTGAATTAAAAAAAAAAAGTTCTGTTGATTTTAGAATTTCATATAAATCAAGTCATATAGTATGAACTCTTAATGAAAGGATTCTTTCATTAAACATAATATTCTTTTTTACTTTTATTTTTACTTAAAACTTTATTTTTTTGAGCAGTTTTAGGTTCACAGCAAAATTGAATCGTAGGTACAGAGATTTCCCATATACTCCCTGCCCTAACACATATACTACGATTGTTGAAACTACATTGATACATCATTGTATCAATAGTTTACATTATGGTTCATTCTTGGTATTTGACATTCAGTGGGTTTTGGCAAATGTATAATGACATATGTCTATCATTGTGGTTTCATACAGAGTATTTTCACTGCCCTGAAGGTATAATATTTTGGGGATTCATCTGTGTTGTTGCATATATCAGTAGTTCTTTCCTTTTTATTTCTAGGTACATTGTATGAATATACCATAGTTTATTTTAGCCATGTTCCTGTTGATGGATATTTGTGTTGTTTCCAGTTTTGGCTGCTATAAATAAAGCTGTCCTGGACATTCTTCTACAAGTCTCTTGTAGACCTGTGCTGTACTTTCTCTTGGGTAGAATTGTGGAATTGTATGTTGAGGTTGTGCCAGGTGTGTTGTTCTACATCCCCCACAACATTGTAGGAGAGTTCCAATTGTTCCACATCTTTGACAGCATTTGGTGTTACCTGTCTTCTTTTTGCTTTTTGCCATTCTGATGGATGTGTTGTGGTATCTCATTGTGGTTTTAATTTGCATTTCATTGATGAGCAGTTATTTTGAAGCTTTTCATGTGGTTATTGACCATTAATATATTTACCTTTGTGAAGAGTATGTTAAATATTGGCCTATTTTTAAACCTTTGTTGGGTTTCATTACTGATTCATAATTTTTTAATATATTCTGAATTCAAGTCCTTTGTCATAAACATGTTTTGGGGATATTTTTTGCCGGCTTGTGACTTGACTAATTCGTTTTTTAATAGGTGCCTCGAGCAGAGTTTTAAATTTTGATTAAATGTAAATTTCAAATTTTTCCTTTATAACTGTTTTGTTCTGTCCTCTAAGAAGTGACAGGTTTTTCTTCTATGTTAAAAAGGGGAGAAAGCAACTCTTTTTGCTTGCAGAGTAGTCAGAATTAGTTTTCTCATCTGTCTAAAGCAGGGATCCTTTTATTGTGGGTGCTGTGGATGCCTTTGACACTCTGGTCAAGCCTGTGAATCTCTTCTCAGAAGGTTTTAAGCATCTTGATTATGATATGCCATGGTATCCTTTCTTTATGTTACTTGTGTTTGGAATACATTAAGGTTTTTAGGTCTGTGGGTTTATAGTTTTCATATATATTTAGAAAATTTGTTGGCATTATTTCTTGAACTGTTTTTCAGTTCTTCTCTCTCCTTTGGAGACTAATTACATGTATATTAGGCTTCTTGAAGTTCAGCAGAGCTCTTTGATGCTCTTGTTCATTTTTGTTCTTTTCCTTTTTCTTTTGTTTGATTGTTGAGAGTTTCTATTTCTGTTCTTGCTCACTAATCTTCTGTATCTAATCTATTAATCACAGCTAGTTTATATTTCATCTCAGATACTGTATTTTTCATCTCTAGAAGTTGTTTGGATTGTTAAAAAAGATACCTTATTTCTCCTTGTTTATGCTTTCTTAAATACCTCATTTATATAGACTTTTTTCTTTTAATTTTCTTAAAAATTAAAATAATTTTTGGGACTCCTGGGTGGCCCAGTCGTTAAATGTCTGCCTTCAGCTCAGGTCATGGTCCCAGGGTCCTGGGACCGAGCCCGGCATCGGGCCTCCCTGCTCGGCGGGGAGCCTGCTTCTCCCTCTCCCACTCCCCCTGCTTGTGTTCCCTCTCCCGCTGTCTCTATCTCTGTAAAATAAATAAATAAATAAATAAAATAAAAATAAAATAATTTTTAATTTGATGCCACACATTGTGAATTTTATCTTGTTGGATGCTGGATATATTTGTATACAGCAAAAAGTTAAGTTACTTGGAAATAATTTAATTCACTTGTCTTGCTTTACATGTTTTTTAGTTGAGATTAGAGCCGCCATTAGCTTAAGGCCAATTTTGTCTCACTACTGACACTTAGCCTTTTGAATACTTTCTTGATGCCTGATGAATTAAAGGTTTTTTCTTTCTTTCTGCTGAGATCACAAACTAGTCCCAATTTTGTGTAAGTCTTGGGGGTGGTTTTCTTGTTTTGTTTTTTTTTTTTTCTCTGGTGGTTCTTTTAGTAGCCTCAATAGTTTCCCTGCATGAAATTGAGTAATAATTAGCTGAGTCCTGGAGTGGGACCCTCTGCAGATATGAGGAGCTTTCTGTGAACAGGTCTTTCTTGTTCAGAGATGAGTGAACACACATTTTGATATTTTGAGATAGCTTCACAAGTGATGTTTGATCTGATTTTTGTAGGTTTTACAGTTGATGGTGATGTAACTGTTATTTGTTACTTATATTTATAATTAAACTATGCAACTACAGTTTGTTACCTACATTCATAATTAAAAGTGCTACATTTTAAATAATATATATTTTTCCATTGAGATTCATGAAGTTCCTGACTTCTGTCAAAGGGCTCCAGATTAAGATGCACTCTTCCGAAGGAAAAGAATATTTTAAGAAATTCTAGCCAGAGATTAGGGAGATGCTTTTCTCTTTTCAAGGCTCTTATTGATTCTTTCTGCAAGGCGGTGAGCAAAGATTTGAAACTTCAGAAGCATCTTTCATCAAAATACCTAATTTTTAATTAATAATAAGTATAAATTACAGTGGCTGGTTTTTAGTGATGTTTCTTTTGTTCCACAAGATCAAGCAGTGTTTTAATGGTTTAGACAACCGAGGTCAAGAGTCCAGCCCTGTGGACTCAACCTGGTCACTGCTTCCTGGGTAGAGGTGGTCTGACTTGTTTTATAACTGAGATGATCATTGATGATGTCCAATTTGAGGTCTTACCTCAGTTGATAACAGGCTTTGCTTATTCCCCTATAGAAAGTGATAAAATGTTTATGGTTAAACAGCAAGATATAAGGATTATACAAAATACTTTTTGGATTTGTAATTTTTATAATTTATTTTGAAGTAAAATGGCTAAAATTTCTTAGTACTGTATGTTAGGTTCTTTAGTTACTACTTACCATGTCTTTTCCTTCCCAGATGAACTAAGGTAAGTGGCCATGTTTCATAAACTATACATATAAGATATTCCAAGAGTCTCTTGTCATGAGGATTTAAAAAGTTATGAGGTTTTTCTAGCCAGAAATCCGGCACTCAATGAAGATGATATTTAATGGAGTATATGTGTCAAAAATTTATCACTGAAGAGTAAATATGCTTGAATCTGCTGGAGACTGCTTGTACCACAAATTTTCTAAAAAGTAATGTTTTTTCTAAATTCCATGATAGGCTTTTTTTTTTTGTATTGTTAGGATAATGTTAATGGACTTTGATGCAGTTTGTCTTTACGAAGGTGGAATGGTTGGAGTGGTTGGACTCTAAATCCTTTGCCAATTTCTAACCAAGTGAAAGTAATTTGCTATAATTTTTTCATATGTAGAATAGGAAAGTTACTAATTTATGTTCCTACTAATAAGAATCACCAACACTATTTTTTTTAGCTTCACATAGGAATAATTCTATTATAATATTTACTTTCATCTTTAGGGATAGTTCTTTTTGGGGGTGGTGTATTTTGCCTAGGAGTGCCTGACATTTCTTTATTGGGTACATCAGGAATTAAAGAATTTTTCTTGGATATTTCTGACACTGTGTTTCTGAGAAAAGTCAGTTTTTCAGCACTTAGCCTTATTTTGGGGAGGAAGTTTTTAATTAGTGGAATGCTAAAGAATGAATTTATTCATACATTTAGAATTATGTTATAAACTACGCCCTATATTGTGGACTATGAAAGGGGATTAGCATAGTACAACATATAGAAACTTGAAAGTAGTGGGGTGCCTGGGTGGCTCAGTCAGTTAAGCGTCTGCTTTTGGCTCAGGTCATGATCCCAGGGTCCTGGGATTGAGCTCCGCATCGCATCAGGCTCCCTGCTCAGCGAGGAGCCTGCTTCTCCCTCTCCTTCTGCTGCTCCCTCTGCCTGTGTTCTCTTGCGTGTGTGCTCTTTCTCTCTGCCAAGTAAATTAAAAAAAATCTTTGAAAAACAAAACAAAACACCTTGAAAGTAGTAATGATATATTATGGATTTCAAATAATAACCATTGTATAACTTGTTTATAATTATATGTGGAAAGAAGGATGTGGGAGAAATATTTTTATAGAATTTACATTCCTAATTTTCCTTTTAGTTAAATCCTCTTGATTTATTTAAAATGACTTTATTTTGATAGGTGCCGAGGATGAAACAAGAATAGATATGCAGTATCCTGCTCAGTACAAAGGCCAAGAGCTGTATTCACAGCAAGAGGATGAACAGCCACAGGGATGGGTATCGTGGGCCTGGTCATTTGTGCCTGCAATTGTGAGTTATGATGACGGTGAGGAAGACTTCCTTGGGAATGATCCTACATCAACTACACATCAGCAAAAAGCACAGATTTTGAGGGATCCTATTGTGTCTATAGGATTTTATTGTACAAAGGCAACTGTGACTTTCAAAGTAGGTTTCCTCTTTCTTGCTCTTCATATTTTTTGCAACTTTAATGGATAAATTTTGATTTCTCCAAAGGATCTAGTTTCAAGTTTGTTTTACACTTAACATGTAAGATAGTCTAGCAATCTTTACTTCATAAAATTATGTTCCCTCGTGTGACTCTGAATTTTGATCTTTTTCTATCAGTTTCATGGAAAGTTTCTCTTCCCACTGAATCTTTAAATTGGCAAACAAAGATGCCTTTATATTTCCATTTAAGAAGAATTGCAGTAAAACCTCTCCCATGAATTCATATATACCTTCAATTACTGTTTGATCTCTGGCTCTCCTTCGTTACAAAATTTCTTTAGAGGGCTGTTTACATAAAATTTCACTCTTTCCTCACCCTTTTACTCTTTGAGATAGTCCTATTTCTTTTCTAGGTCCTCATTTAACTCGGTTTTTCAGCAGTGTTTCACATACTTTGACTACTTTCTCCATTAACAAATACATGTAAAGTATATAGTCAAAAGAGACCATATAATAGATATTTTCCCGTTAAAGAATAGTAAAGTGAGCACTGTAGTTTTTTTATATTAAGTTTTTAATTCCAGTTAGTTAATATACAGTGTTACATCACTCAATGCTCATCACAAGTGCCCTCCTTAATCCCCATCACCTATTTCACCCATCTCTCCACCCACCTCCCCTCTGGGAACCATTGGTTTGTTCTCCGTAGTTAAACAAATATAGTTAAGTTTGTTCTCTACTGTTTCTTGGTTTGTCTCTTTTCTCCCCCCTTTGCTTGCTTGTTTACTCATAAGTGGCTTAAAATCCACATGAGTGAAATCTCTGACTGGCTTATTTCGCTTAGCATTATACCCGCTAGTTCTGTTCATGTCATTGCAAATGCACGATTTCATACTTTTTAATGGCTGAATACTCCATTGCATACACACACACACAACCCACATCTTCTTTATTCATCAGTTGATGGGCACTTGAGCTGCTTCCATAATTTGACTATTGTTAAATAATGCTGCAGCAAGCATAGAAGTGCATGTATCCCTTTGAATTAGGAACACCCTTTTATTTTAAGAAATATAAAATTATTAGTACTTCAGCACCCTGTGTGTGTTCTTGGATCATATGTTGTCTTATTTGCCCCTCAGTTATAGCCCAAACTTAATTCCGAGTATTTATTTCTTGTCTTTTTAAAATAGTATTATCACACATGTAATATCTTTGAACAGTATCTAATTCATTCAATAAATACATACTAATGCCTTCTATATGCCAGGCTCTGTTTTGTCTTTAAGGATACCCAGTGAACAGATGAGATAAATATCCCTGCCTCTTAAAATATAAATTGTCATTATATGCAAATAAGCTATTTAGTATACTCATTTATGAAAGGGTCCTGTAGAAAAAATAAAGAGGGAAGAGGAATAGTGAATGTGTCCATTAGATAGGAAGGGATTATGCAATTTACAATTGGGTGATCAGGGAAGGCCTTAATGGGAAGGGGATCTTTAAGCAAAGACTCATGAAAGAAAAAGCTCTGTAGATATATAGGAATTAACATTCTAAGAATAGCAAATGGGAAGACCCTGAAAGTTGAAGGAATAGTAAGGAAGCCAGTGGGGCCAGAGCAGAGTGGGCTAAAATGGAAGTAGTATGAAATCAGGTCAGAGAGGTGATGGGGTTGGGGAGAGATCCATAAATTGTAAAACTTTGTAGGTCATTTTAGGTTAGGGTCTTTGTCATTAATCCTGAGCGAGATAAGAAGTTTTTGGACAATTTTTAGCATAGTAGTTACAAGACGATTTATGTTTTAAACTGCATCACTCTGGTTGCTGTGTTGAGAATAGATTATAGGGAGCAAAAGCAGAAATAAGATCAGACAGAGATGATAGGAATTTGCAAGCAGAAGATAATGATTGCTGGACTAGGATGAAATGAAAGCAAGGGGAGGTGGTGAAATGTAACTGGATTTTGGATGTGTTTTGAAGGTCAAGAGGACAGAACTTCCTGATAGATTTTATTGTGAGACATAAATGAAGAGTATCCAAGGATGGTTCCTGAGCAACTAGAAGAATTGAGTTTGGGTTTTTTGACATAAGGAGGACTGCGAGAGGATTAGGTTTGAGATAAAATCAGGAGTTTGGTTTTGGACAAGTTTAAGATGCACACTGTATATTCAAGTACAGCTGTCAGGTTGGATTAATGAATCTAGAGTTCAGATTAGAAGTTTGGTCTGGGTATATAAGTTTGAGAGTCAGGATTTTATTAAGACTGGAATCAGTGTGTGTGTGGGTGTGTGTATATACACATACATACATATATAAAGGAGAGGTTCTAGGGCCAAGCTCTGTGGCACTATGATGTTAATTATTTGGAAAGAAAAGGCAGAAATAGCATGGGAAACTGAAAATAAGTTAGGCAGAAAACCAAGAGTGTCTATCTGGAAGCTGAGTGCCATAAATGTCTTAAAGTTGAACAAGTAGGTCATTTGTGAGAATGGATTATTGGATTTGGCATTGTGGGAATTGTTGGTGATCTTGACTAGAGCAGTGATTTGACAGTGGTGGGATCTTAGTTGGAGTTGGTTAAAAGCAAATGCGAACACTCGTGGGAATTTAAAATGGTGCAGTCACTGTGGAAAACAGTTTGGTGGTTCCTTGAAACGTTAAACTTAGAATCATATGACCCAGCAATTCCACTTGTAGGTGCATACTCAAAAGAATTAAGCTGTGCTCAAATAGATGTACACAAATGTTCATAAAAGCACGTTTACAAAGGCCAAAAAAGTTGAAACAACCTGGGGTGCCTGGCTGGCTCAGTTGGTAGAGCATGCAACTCTTGACTCTTGAGCTCCACGTTGGGTGTAGAGATTACTTAAACAAACAAAAACCCTAAAAAAAAAGTTAACTCAAATGTTCATCAGTGGATGAAAGAATAATTTTCAGAAAATTGAGGATAGTCTTTTTTGGTAGTACACCGAACTCAGTGGTAATTTTTAAAAAGGCTACTTGTATCTCCAACTCTTGGAAATTGCCAGTATATATTCAACAAATAAATCCTCTTTCCTTCTGCCTATCTCCTCATCTGCTTGCCACCTTCCAAAATTTTGGGATCCTCTTTTAGATTTTATTTCTTTAATTTTATTTGTCTTTGTTGGATTATTATGAAGGCATTTTTCTGAAGGAGATAAACTCATGGGTCCAACCTGTGAAGTAGTATTCCAGGTATTATTCCAGGTAACTTGTTAGGTACTGGAAATGTAGCACAGGGAAAAAAAATCAGGTTTTTGCTCTCATGGTGTTTTTAATTTGGCTTGGATTGTTTACTTGAAATAAACTTTTTAAATCAGTGGTAAAGGTATACAATTTATAACTACACCAGATAGTAGATTAAAAATACTTCAAGTAAATAGTCTTTAATTTAAAGACTTTTCTAATTAAAACCATTAAGTATTTTCTAATATGACAAACCCTGAAAGATGTAGAAAATGAATTTTAGCAAAATATGAGCTTGATTGACTTAAAAGATTTTTTTGGTAATAAAGTTTGGGGCAAAAATGATAAAAATACATTAGCTGTGCTATTTTACATTTCTGAATTCTTCTATGGAACAATTTATTTTTTATTATAAATTTCATAATTGAAATTCACTGATCTAGCTTTGATGAAAATAATATCAGCCTGTAAAATTAAAAATAATAAAATCTTTAAAATAGATAATAGAAAAACCGGGGTGTCTGGGTGGCAAGGTCGGTTGAGCATCTGACTCTTGATTTTGGTTCAGGTCATGATCTCGGGGTTCTGGGATGGAGCCCTGTGTTGGGCTCCATGCTCAGCATGGAGTTGGCTTGAGATTCTCTCTTCCTCTGCCCCTCCAACTTGTGCTGTCTCTCTCTCTCTCTCTCTCTCTCAAATAAAACGTTTTTTAAAATTTTTTAATTTTTAAATTTTTAAAAAAGATTTTATTATTTGACAGAGAGGGACATAGCGAGAAAAGGAACACAAGCAGGGGGAGTGGGAGAGGGGAAGCAGGCTTCCCGCGGAGTGGGGAGCCCGATGCAGGGCTTGATCCCAGAACCCTGGGACCATGAGCCAAAGGCAGACGCCTAACGACTGAGCCACCCAGGCGCCCCTCAAATAAATAAAATCTTAAAAAAAAAAAAAACATATAATAAAAAAGCCAACCATTGCTAACTATTATTACATATATTGTCAATTTTATTTTTTAAATTAAAATTTTTTTTCATGATATATCTCTGCATTTAATAGAGGTTTTTGGCAATAATGATTTTAATTGCATTAATTGTAAGTATAAATATTCAAGCTTAAATTCTAAAAGATATAAACATATCTTAGTAATGACAGCATGAGTTAACGTTTTGTTTGAGAACTTAAATTATACTTAAAACTTTTCTTGGTGTAATTTTTTTTTGAGTGTAGTTGACACACAATGTTATATTAATTTCAGCTGTACAACATAGTGCTTCCACATCTCTATACCTTATGGTATGCTCGCCACAAGTGTAGCTACCATCTGTCACCATACAATGCTATTACAGTGTCTTTGATGATATTCCCTATGCTGTGCCTTTTATATTCATTCCCATGACTTGTTTGTTCTGTAATGGAAGCCTGTATATCCTATTCTTCTTCATCCATTTTGCCCATCCCCCCACACCTCTCCCCTCTTAGAACCATCAGTTTGTTCTCTGTATTTATTGGTCTGATGATTCTTTTTGTTGTTCATTTGTTTTTTAGATTCCACATATGCGTTAAATCATATGGTATATTGCCAGTTTTAGATGATCCAGAAGTTATTTTTAATATAAGTTTGCGAGGGAATTTAAGGATTGCTAGTAAAGTTCTGTCTTTTCTGGTGACTTTTGCATACTTATGTTCAATTTTTTTTTTTTTTTTAAGATTTTATTTATTTATTTGACAGAGACAGCGAGAGAGGGAACACAAGCAAGGGGAGTGAGAGGGAGAAGCAGGCTTCCCGCAGAGCAGGGAGTCCAATGTGGGGCTCTATCCCAGGACCCTGGGATCATGACCTGAGCTGAAGGCAGACGCTTAACGACTGAGCCACCCAGGCACCCCACTTATGTTCAGTTTGAAATTATTCTGGTATATTTCTCTTCATTGATGAGAAGAATTGTATTAAACTGAGTCAGAATAGTTTGTATTTAAATATAAAACTTTTATCGACTTTTAGGGCAGTATTGTCATTAGGTAATACATCTTTTAAAAAATTTAGAACATTTATGTTTCTAAGGTTTCTCTAAGGGAAATATGTTAAGATTTAAGAGGAAAACAGAATTCATTGTTCAGCTTGGATTTAAGGAATGTATGGAATTAATTTGTGGTTCATATTTTGGTCAGAAAATAAGGTCATGTTTCTACATTAGCATTCTGAACAGTTGATATCAATCCAACAAAAATCATGCCAAATTAAATGTAGCATTTAAGAAATCATGTTGAAGATTGTTCTTGTAATGTTTGAGTCCTTTTAATCAATTAATTGCTTTTTCTTTACAGTAATTGTAGACAGCTGAAGGGTGATCAAGTTTAAAATACTGAATTTTACTTGAGCATTTTATAGAATTGTACTTTAAAATAATGACATTGTATGCTGGTTCTAGAAGCATCTAAAAAATAAGGGCTTATATATAAACTTTTTGTTACAAAGAATGAGAATAATTAGTTGATTTTAAATATAAAGAAGTTATCATGCTTAAAATTATAACTTTTTGGTTTAATAAGTTCTATTTGACCTAAATTAAATACTGGGTTTTTTTTTTTTTTTTTTTTTTTAATGTGATCTTTGACTTTGCCTTAATGTTTGAATAATACATCCATTTCACAAGAGTAAGGAAGGGTCTCATTAGTAAACATGGGCAGAATACCTTTGAAAAAATAAAAACATTATTTTGGAACAGTTTTAGATTTACAGAAAACTTGCAACGTACAGAGAGTTCACGTAGACTCCTTACTCAGTTTCTCTATTGTTAATATCTTATGCTATCATAGTACATTTGTCCAGACTAGGAAGCCAGCACTGGTGCATTTCTTTTACATTCCAGAGTTTAACTAAATTTCATTATGTCGTTTTCTGTAACATGATCCAAACCAGGATACCACATTGCATTTAGAAAAGTACCTCTTAAAAATAATTTATCTCAGTTTGTCTAGATACATACAAGTAATGTGTTGTAAGCGTCAGGGGTGCAAGGCTTGTTGTGGTGGTGGTGGTTTTGGCAGCATCTAGATTAGTACTTACTAGCTGTCACTCATAAAGTATTTGCATGATCGAATGAGTCTGAGACACATACTTTGAAAGTATACACCCATGAACCTACTTCCCTCATAGAGCTAAATGAAGTTTTGTTGAATTTGTGGGTTTTTTAATAGTTTTCTTTTTGATGAAAAATTTGGGAGACATTTTGGAAATGATTGAACTAACTCTGGTTGAATATGTATGGGATATAAAATGAATTGAGGTTAAAATATTGGCAGAATATATGAACCATTATATGAGACTGTTATAGCTACATAGCTTTTACCTTTTTAAGCAATATTGTTAAGACAAAGAAGTTAAATAAAAGGAGGATGGTATTTAAATTCTCTATTTGAGCTTACAGTGGCATATTCAACCTTTATACCATGGATAATCTGTTACAGCTGTTTTTGTTGCACCTGTTTTCCTGCTTAATAATTAAATTTCCCGAATCTTAAAATTGGCCCTGTTTCCATCAATTCATCATAATAAATGACAGTTTATTGCTATCTAATACTAATTTTACTTACTTAATGTTCCTATATTGTTTTCTTAGCTCACTGAAATGCAAGCTGAGAGTAGTTATTATAGCCCTCAGAAAGTAAAATCCAAAGAAGTATTGTGTTGGGAACAAGAAGGAACTACAGTTGAGGTAATCTTTCAACATTGAACATATATATTTAAAACTTTTTTGAATGGTCCTTAATGTTAATATTTAATAAATGCAGGCTTTTATCATAGTGGTATGTTTAAAATATATTCATGGTTTTTTCTATCTTAGTCATCAGTAGTATTGGTTGAAATAATTATTACTTTAACAAAGATTCTACTGTAACATGCAACATGAATTCTTTCATTTTTTCATTTAACTTGTGTGAGCTCGTATGTATGTGTGGATTAATGTTCATAAGGTGCCAGTCATTGAGGATACAAAGATCTGAGGATACAGAGTTAAGTAAGATGTTTCTTAATTTAATAGGGTTTATGATCTGAGGAGAATAAATTTGGAAAGGCCATAATTCTAAAGAAGTTTCTACTAATTCAGAAATTCTACAAGGAAAACCTGTAATTTTTTTTAAGCCTGGAACATTTTTATGAAATTCAAATTCTTAGTTCTAATGTTTCCTTCCCTCTTATAGGCCCTTATGATGGGAGAGCCTTTCTTCGATTGCCAGATTGGTTTTGTAGGCTGCAGAGCCTTGTGCCTTAAGGGAATTATGGGTGTTAAAGATTTTGAAGAGAGTATGAATAGAAGTGAAACTGTAAGTCAAATTCTCCCCCTCCCCACCTTTTTTTGGATAGAATGCAGGGATAATGAAGTGCTTATTGAAGTGTTTAACTATACCAAAAAATCTGTTAGACTACATATATCTTTGGCTTAAGAAAGGAACTTTACTGTTTTCCCCTGTAGGAAATTATAGAGCTCAGGGGAATTTAGAAAGTTGGTAGCACTTAACACCTGGACAGTAGTTCCAAATACTTTCCAATTCATAAATGTTTCTTCTTTCTTGTTTATGGCAGCTACTTGGAGTTCCTTTTTGGTTTGTTAAAATGTTCTTTGCCAAGAAAGGCAGTGAAGTGGAGACAGAATTCCTTGTCTTTTTACAGAACTTCACATTGTAGTGATTTCTATTGACTACTGAATGGGTGTTATAAAATCATGGTTTTATTTTCTTTAACAGTTTAATGATTTTTCCTCCTGTTCAAAAATTTTGCATTTATTTTCAGGAAGCCTGTTTCTTCATTTGTGGTGAAAATTTGAGTATGAAAGGTTTGACATACCTTACAAATTCATTGTTTGATTACCGAAGCCCAGAAAATAATGGTACTCGTGCAGAATTTATCTTGGATGCAACTCATCATAAGGTCAGAGAATATATATTTGAGCCAATTTCTAGGCTGTGTTTGGGTGGATATTTTGTGTGAATACTTGTAATTGCCATTTTTCTTATCGAGTAATACATTCTGAATGCTAGTTGTTTATTGAAGCATTTAGAATATTTTTGTCCAGCTTCTACATCTTAGAGAAGTTTGAAGAGTGCACATAGGTCTCTACTTCTATATACTATGTAGCCAGTTAGTTTATCCATTCCCTACTGTTAAAATAGTCATAGAGGAAACTTGTAGAGTTATCTTTTAGTTGCAGTTACTTTTGGATATGGGATTAATGGGAGGAGATGAAGAATTTCACATTTTACTATGTATGTGTCTTAGTGTTTAATTTTTCATGTTAAATTAATGTACTTTTAGGGAATAAATTAAAAAATTCAAAGAAGTTTACCTGAAGATTAGTATAAAAGAATAAATAATATATATTTTAACCCTTTTTACTACATTTACTTTTGTAAAGAATTTAATTTTAATCTGCATATTTACCTATCTTTTCAATATTTTAGTATATCTTTAGTATTTGAGTTGTTTCATATAAGTGCACTGGAATAAATAAAGATTAAATATATTTCAGAGTATATATTGGACAGTTTTGTGATGATGTTAAAGGTCAAGGGTGTACTATCCTATTCCATTATAGATATTCATTAACCAATAGACATTATTGATAAAGTGGTCAAAATGTCTAGTAGAATTATGGATGTCTTTTTGTGTTGTCTTTAGTAGAGTTAACATTACCTTTTTTAGAAGTGAATTCTTTGGATAGCCTTTGTTCTTTTGTTTTGGTAATCCTTTTAGTTGATACACATTGTATATAAGGATGTATGTTTGATTCTTGACCTGTCAGGTTTTAAACTCCGAAGTCTCTTCTGTACAATGTGTGTTCTGTTTGCTTTTCTTTGTTGGCAGGAGACATACACTGAAATAGCTGGAATGCAAAGGTTTGGGGCTTTTTACATGGATTACCTGTATATAATGGAGAACATCAGTGGCAAAGGTACTAGTTTCTTTCCATTATGTTTGCTTTTCCTTGGACAACAGAAACAAAAGACTCTTCAGAATCAGTTGATCCTTGACTGGCTATAATCTGTTAAATCAGATTTACCTTCTGGTACTTTGGGGAATGGAATAATTTTAATATCATGTTATAATTTTCTTAGACATTTAGATTCTTAATCCTTTCTTTGTGTAGTTGATTGAGAAGACATTTTACATAGCCAATCAGATTTAGTTCTATTATGTACCAAATATTGAAATTTTGATACATCAAATTTCATGTTGCTTTAAGTTGTCAAAAAGCATAAACATTTCCTTTTCTATGTTAAATACATTTCGAAGGTTATTTAGATATTTTTATTAAAAAACCTGTTTGAAGCAGAATAGTGGAAATAAATTCTTCTGGAGATAATGGATACAGTCTTACATGTTTTAAAAGCAATCATATGTTTTTAAAAATTTAACTGATACTTTATGTGCTCATCAATATACTATATTGTGCTTATTTTCATCTTTTTTTCATATTGAAAACAGTGAAAATAAGTTAATCCTTTTTTGTTAATTTTTCATATATTGATTTTTGTGTGTTAGGTGATAAGTTTGATATAGTGAATGCCAAGAAGACCAAAGCATTTCTCAAGAAACTAATAGGTAGTGTTTATACACTTAAATGAATGATTATAATATAGCACATTAAGAACAGTAGTTAAAATGGAGAGCTAAGAGAGGTCTAGGTCAGAAAGTGATTACTTTTATGTGTAGGGTTAAAAACTTCACAGAGGAGTTGATCTTGAAAGATCATTAAGTTTTGTTAGATGAAAACAGAAGGAAAGAACAGTAATTTTCTGCTTCCTCTTTTTGTAATGGATTTCTAAATGTTGGTGTTCTCATTGATCAAACCTTGGGTTTACTTTTTTCTTTAGATGCTTTCCTGACGTTCTGTCATTCTTTTCCATTGATTTAGTACCTTTAATATGTTGTTGATGCACATATTTATAATTTTAGTCCAGACTTCCTTAAGTTTAGAATTAAATATCCAATGCATACTTGATATTTTTACTTCTTTATGTGTCTCACAAATATTTCAAAACTGAAGGGGCGCCTGGGTGGCTCAGTTGTTGGGTGTCTACCTTTGGCTCGGGTCATGATCCCAGGGTCTTGGGATTGAGCCCCGTGTTGGGCTCCCTGCCTGGTGGGGAGCCTGCATCTCCCTCTCCCACTCCCCTGCTATGTTCCCTCTCTCACTGTCTCTCTGTCAAATAAATAAATAAAATCTTTAAAAAACAAAAAACAAAAAACTGAGTATGTTCAAATGGAATTATTAAAATCCTTATGACTGTCTACTGCTTACTGCTTTTCCCTTAGTTTCAATATTCTTGTCTTGGCAAATTCTTCTTCTGTATTCTGGTTGCTCAAGCCAGAAACCTAGGAATCATCATGACCTACTTCTCCTCTCCTAGCTTCCAGTCCATCAGCATATTTTTTGTCAAATTTCATCTACAAATCTATTTTATATTCGTTGACTTCTTGTAAACTCCACTGTTACCACTCTCATCCAATCTACTGTCCTCTCTACATTTTAATGGCTTTTTACTGGCTTCCTGCTTCTCACGAGCTTTCAGATTGGTTTAATTCTGTGCTTAAAACCCTCACTCACTGCTTTTGCATTGCTTTATTTAGAAATAAAATTTAAATTGTGTATCAGATTTTAGTCTTGAGTTACTTGGAGAATAATGATAACCACCAAGGAAGATAGAAACAAGTAAGATTTTTGGAGGAAAAGATGTGTTTTGACGTACCTGTAGATATTGAGGTAGAGATATTCAGTAACAAATTATATATAGGAAAGGGCAACTAAGAACTTTACAAATTGTTATAGTGTTGTAGTTACCAAATGTAAGATGGTAGGTTTCTTCTGGTTCAGTATGAAGTCTTCTGCATGTGTTATGGATTCCATATCTTGTGAGGAGGTGGAGTATCAAGTAGTTGTCCTTCAAGTGAAGGAAACCAAGCACTGAAAATTTTATTTGTGCATATGTTGCTTCTACACTTTCTAAAAGATAGAGACATAGTTGTATTTGCTGGGGTGCTTGTATATGTTCAGTATGAGAAACTGGTAGTTTGTTAACTTTTAAATTTTTCATATTTTCCACTTCGAAGAATAGGATACAATGTTACAAATATCTTAGTCCTTAACTTTTTTTCCAACAAACTATTAGATCATAACATACAAACAGAGAAGTTCTACACATTTATGTACAGAATAGCAAAGAATTATAATGGAAATACCTGTGTGTGATAAATTTAAATTATTTTTTGTCTGTGGTACTGAGACGAAAGATTGAACTGAAATCCTTTGTTTGAAATTACAGAAAAGTAATTTTTGAAAAAGTTATTAGAGTGGATACGGGGTTGCCTGGGTGGCTCGTCGGTTAAGCATCTGTGTTCAGCTCAGGTCATGATCTCAGGGTCCTGGGATTGAGCCCCACATCAGGCTCCCTGCTCAGCGGGGAGTCTGCTTCTCCCTCTCCCTCTAATCCTCCTCCCTGCTTAAGCTGTCTCTCTGTCTCAAATAAATAAATCTTAAAAAAAAAAAAAAAGAAAGTGTGGATACAGAACTTTTGTGTTTAATTGGGCCTTTCTATATTCTAAAGGTATTAAGTGCTAGGAAGCCTTACTTTCCTGTTTCTGTTTGAATAAACAAAATGGCTTAAGAATTAGAAATTACTGGGGCTGAGGAGTTCAAGATGGCAGAGGAGTAGGAGACTGCAGTTTGGTCCCAGGAATTCAGCTTAGATAGCTATTAAATCATTCTGAACATCTGCAAACTCAACAGAGATCTAAGAAAAGAATTGCTGCAACTCTACAAATAGAAAAGCGAACACTTTCTGCAAGAATGACAAGATGGAAAAACCATCTCAAAAAAGAGAACAAGAGGGAGTACTGACTGCCAGGGACCTAATCAGTATGGTATAAGCAAGATGTCGGAATTAGAGTTCAGAATACCGATTATAAAGATACTAGCTGGGCTTGAAAAAAAGCATAGAAGACACTAGAGAATCCTTTTCTGGAGAAATGAAAGAACTAAAATCTAATCAAGTCAAAATCAAAAAGGCTATTAATGAGATGCAATAAAAAATGGAGGCTCTAACTGCTAGGATAAATGGGGCAGAAGAGAGAATTAGTGATATAGAGGACTAAATGATGGAGGATAAAGAAGCTGAGAGGGACACCTGGATGGCTCAGTTGGCTAAGTGTCTGCCTTCAGCTCAGGTCATAATCCCGGGGTTCTGAGATTGAGTCCCACATCGGGCTCCCTGCTCAGTGGCAGCCTGTTTCTCCCTCTGCCTGCTGCTTCCCCTGCTTGGGCGCACTCTCTCTCTGACAAATAAATGAATAAAATCTTTAAAAAAAAAAATAAAGAAGCTGAGAAAAAGAGATAAACAACTATTGGATCATGAGGGGAGAGTTCAAAAGATAAGTGATACCAGAAAGTGAAACAATATTAGAATAATTGGGATCACAGAAGAAGAGGAAAGAGAGAGTGGGGCAGAAGGTATATTGGAGAACTTATAGCAGAGAACTTCACTAACTTGGGTAAGGAAACAGGCATTCAAGTCCAAGAGGCACAGAGAACCCTCAAAATCAATAAAAATAGATCAACACCTCAAAGTATAATAGTGAAATTTGCAAATCTCAGAGACAAAGAGAAAATCCTGAAAGCTGCTTGGGACAAGAGGTCTGTAACCTACAAGGGAAAACATTAGACTGACAGCAGACCTATCCACAGAGACCTGGCAGGCCAGAAAGGACTGACATGATATATTCAGGGTACTAAATGAGAAAAATATGCAGCCAAGAATACTTAATCCAGCAAGGATGTCATTCAAAATAGAAGGAGAGATAAAAAGCTTCCAGGAAAAACAGAAACTAAAAGAGTTTATGATCAGTAAACCAGCCCTGCAAGAAATATTAAAGGGGATCCTTTAAGTGAAGAGAGAGCCCAAAGTAACATAGACCAGAAAGGAACAGAGACAATATACAAAAATAGTGACTTTACAGGTAATACAATGACACTAGCTCCCTATCTCTTAATAGTTACCCTGAATGTAAATGGGCTAAATGCCCCAATCAAAAGACACAGGGTATCAGATTGGACAAAAAAGCAAGGCCCATTGGTATGTTGTCTGCAAGAGACTCATTTTAGACCCAAAGACACCTACATATTGAGAGTGAGGGAGTGGAAAACCATTTATCATGCTAATGGACATCAAAATAAAGCTGGGGTGGCAGTCTTTATATCAGACAAATTAGATTTTGAACCAAAGACTAATAAAAGATGAGGAAGGCTACTATATCATAATTAAAGGGTCTATCCAACAAAATATAACAATTGTAAATATTTATACCCCTAATATGGGAGCAGCCAATTACATAAACCAATTAATAACAAAATTAAACACATTGATAATAATACAATAATAGTAGGGGACTTTAACACCCCCCCCCACCCCCCGCAATGGACAGATCATCTAGGCAGAAGATCATCAAGGAAACAAGGACTTTGAGTGACACACTGGACCAGATGGATTTCACAGATATGTTCAGAGCATTTCATCCTAAAGCAACAGAATACACATTCTTCTTGAGTGCATATGGAACATTCTCCAGAATAGATTACATACTGGGTCACAAATCAGGTCTCAACCGGTACCAAAAGATTGGGATCATTCCCTGCCTATTTTCAGACCACAATGCTTTGAAACTTGAACTCAGTCACAAGAGTACATTTGGAAAGAACTCCAATACATGGAGGCTAAAGAACATCCTACTAAAGAATGAATGGGTCAACCAGGAAATTAAAGAGGATGCCACCAAAAAGGAGAATTACAGACCAATATCCTTGATGAACATGGATGCAAAAATTTCCACCAAAATACTAGCCAGTAGGATCCAACAGTATGTTGAAAGGGTTATTCACCACGACCAAGTGGGATTTATTCCCAGGCTTTACAAGCGTGGTTCAACATCCCCAAATCAATCAATGTGATACACTACATTAATAAAAGAAAAGACAAGAACCATATGATCCTCTCAATAGATGCAGATAAAGCATTTGACAAAGTACAGCATCCTTTCTTGATTAAAACTCTTCACAGTGTAGGGATAAAGGAGACCTACCTCAATATCATAAAAGCCATGTATGAAAAGCCCACAGTGAATCTCGTTCTCAATGTAGAAAAACTGAGAGCTTTTCCCTAAGGTCAGGAACACAGCAGGGATGTCCATTCTCACTACTGTTGTTCAGCATAGTACTAGAAGTCCTAGCTTCAGCAATCAGACAACAAAAAGAAATAAAAGGCATCTGACTCGGCAAAGTAGAAGTCTCACTCTTCACAGATGACATGAGACTTTGTGGAAAACCCAAAAGACACCACCCCAAAATTTCTGGAACTCATACAGGAATGCAGCAAAGTGGCAGGACATAAAATCAGTGCACAGAAATCTGTTGTATTTCTGTACACTAACAATGAGAAGAAAGATAAATTGAGTCAATCCCATTTATAATTGCACCAAAACCCGTGAGATACCTAGGAATAAACCTAACCAAAGAGGCAGAGGATCTGTACTTGGAAAACTATAGAACACTCATGAAAGAAATTGAGGAAGACACAAAGAAATGGAAAAACATTCCATGCTCATGGATTGGAAGAACAAATATTGTTAAAATGTCTATGCTACCTAGAGCAATCGATACATTCAATGCAGTCCCTATCAAAATACTATCAACTTTTTTCACAGAGCTGGAACAAATCCTAAAATTTGTATGGAACCAGAAAAGACCATGAATGGCCAAAGGAATGTTGGAAAAGAAAATCAAAGCTGGTGGCACCACAGTTCCGGACTTCAAGCTCTATTACAAAGCTGTCATCATCAAGACAGTATGGTACAGGCACGAAAACAGACACATAGATCAATGGACAGGAATAGAGAGCCCAGAAATGGACCCTCAACTCTATGGTCAACTAATCTTCGACAAAGCAGGAAAGAATGTCCAGTGGAAAAAAGACAGTCTCTTCAACAAATGGTGTTGGGAAAATTGGACAGCCACATGCAGAAGAATGAAACTGGACTTTTCTTATGCCATACATAAAAATGGACTCAAAATGGATGAAAGACCTAAATGTGAGACAGGAATCCATCAAAATCCTAGAGGAAAACACAGTCAGCAACCTCTGTGACCTCGGCCACATCAAGTTCTTGCTAGACACATCTCCAAAGGCAAGGGAAACAAAGGCAAAAATGAACTATTGGGACTTGATCAAGATAAAAAGCTTTTGCACAGCAAAGGAAACAGTTGACAAAACCAAGACAACCTACACAATGGGAGAGGATATTTGCAAATGTCTTTTTTTTTTTTTTTAAGATTTTATTTATTTATTTGACAGAGAGACACAGTGAGAGAGGGAACACAACAGGGGGAGTGGG